CCGCCTCGCCCGCCGCAAAGGCCAAGCACGCCAAGCACCTGCGGGCGGCCGCCGCGTCGCCCGCCGCCACGCCCGCACCAAGCGCCGCCGCTGCGGCCAAGGCCGCCGTCGTCGCCGGCAACATCCGCGTGATCCAGGCGCCCGCCGTCAAGGTTGGCGATGGCATCACGCCGATGTCGTCTGTGCCCTCGGACCTCAAGCCCATCGCCACACCCGCCGGCGCGCCCGCCGCGGCCGCGGGCTCCGCCTCCGCCGCCGCCCCCGCCAAGGGCCAGGCCGCCGCCGTGGTCGCGCCCAACGCCGCCGGCGTCGCGCGCTCGACCGACCCCTTCGGCAACCCCGTCATCAACGCCGGCGGCACCATGACGGCCGCAAAGGCTTGAGCAAGCGGCCGCTGGCATGGCGGCCCCACCGCCCTTGAGCGGGCGGGTGCGGCGCTTCAGGCAGACCCTGGCACAGGCGCCCAGCGCTTCAAGGCTCCGGCCTGCTGGCAACACTGCTCAGGGTGTTGTTGTTCGTGTATATTGAGAGTATGAGATGCCCAAGTCTTTTTGGGACTTCAAGCAATGCTCAACGCAGCGTTGAACTTGCACGCGTGACCGGCCGCCGAAAGGCGAGGCGCGTTGCGCCGGCAGCAATGCCGGCTTGGATTTTTTTGTTGAGCCTCATGACACAGATTTGCACCAAATGTAATCCATTTTTGTCCTCCAGTCGATTCACCATGGGACGCCCCATTGACAGCAGCGGCGGCAGCGTACGTGGCAGCAGGGTGGCATGCTTTGCAGCAGCTGGCGCCTCGCCCACCGCTGTAGTGCAGTGCCTGCTGGATGCCTGTGGCCTCGTGCAACGTCCTCACTCACTGCCTCTTGCGCACGTGCTCAATCTCATGGACTTGGCAGCTGAATCCATAATTCAAGTTATATATTTTCGATGCTGCGCGGTTGTTCTGCAGGCCGCACCCTGGTGCATGTCAACTTGCCCCTCGTCCCCAATACGTGTGCCCTCTTGTGCAAACCTCCCCAATCAAACCGTCCAAGCAGCCCCACCTTGCTCGCAACGGCCCAAAACCCCAGGCAACCTCACTGCACCATCAGCTTTCGTCACGCAACCACTGCCCCCAAAATGGTCGCTCAGCCCGGAGAGGGTCAGATTTGTCTGTGGAGCCCAATCCAAGTGCTGAAACATAAACACAAAGAAGCGAAAACGCCTGGCTTGGGGCGGCACCAAGCTGACAAAACATGCATGCGTGCTTGCACATTTTCACAGCACCCTTGCTGCACAAGACGCATACAGCAAGGCACGGTTCCACCTACCGCAGAGGCACGCGCAACGCATGGCTGATGTTATAACTGCGCATGTCCACATGCAAGCACGCACTGACTGCAGGGAATCAAACCCAGGATGGGACAGAAAGCACTGGGCAGACAGAAGAAGCTGCAGCCCTGATGCGTGCATGCATGCTGAGGATGAACTGATGAGCGTTGTAGCCGAAGCCATGCCAAAAGCGCCTCTGTGCGCATAGAGGCCCTGCACTGACACGCGTGTTTTGTGTAATTCATAATCATGAGCCCGTTTGAGCTGAGCGCCCCTTGCCAACCATTATCTGAGGCGCTGCAGCAAACAGTTTGCTTGGTACTACCAAGCAAGGTAGTAGTACCACTTGCGTGGTTACTACTACCACTTGGTAATACCACTTGCGTGTATTTCAAGTCACAAGCGCCCGATGTGTCGCCCGATTGCAGCGCTTGACAAGGCTTCTGGACACCAGTTTTCTGTAGAAGATTCAGACACTCGGGCTGTCATCGCGGGCGACCGGCCCGCCTGGCCACCGCCGGGGCCAACGGCACCTGCGCCGCTGCGCCGCAAACCACCACGACCGGGCTGTTTGACCATCAGCGTTGTGCACCCGTGGATAGTTGGTCCAGGCTGTTTCAATCACACGAGTGTCAGCCTCATTGCTCATTAGAGCTGCCGCTGCTGCTTCAGCGTACAGCTGCACAGCCCCCGGGCTAGTAACCCAGTGACGGCCACAGCTGCCCCGTGGTGAGGCAGGCCACGGCGGCAGGGGCGCGGCAGCCGTGTTGGACAGATGCAATGCCGCCTTATAAGCCCCCTCGCAGGTAGGTACATTCACTTTGCAAAACAAGAGCATCAAACAACAGTTCGACGAACCCACTGTTCAAATCAGCGATCGCGTGACACCGTCTACTCACCTCACCACCGATAGGACAGAGCCGCAAGTGCCCTTTCGACATCAAATTCAGCCGTTCACCACTCTTCAAATGGGCGTTCCGTCTGCCACGATGGCTCGCGGCTGCTGGGCGCTCCTGACGGGTGAGGCATTCCTGCGGTACAGCAGCAGCTGCGCTGCAAGCTGCCCGAGCCTGTTGGTCCAGTAGGCCGTTCCTGCTCCCACGCTTTTGGCTATCTATAGCCAGTTACAGTGACCACGCCGCATAGTATTGAACTGCTGTCTAACTGCCTTCTGCGACCCACTACCTTGCACCCGCAGTGGCCCTGCTGCTGGCTCCTGGCACGCTTGGCGCGTCCCTCAAGGCCGGTGGCCTGACTCAGGGCGCCGAAGGAGTGATTCGACGCGAGCTGGGCGAGAA